AAAACCATAAAATTTGAACAGAAATTGAATCAGTATCTTTTGAGAACCAAGCAAGAGTGTGGATGGGTGTATTCTATTTCATCCAAACCGACATTCACACCCTCAAGATGGTTCGGATACAAGAAAAATGAAAGATTTCACTTGAAGTGCTCTTTTGAGCCATCACAAACAGAACCTTCTATCTCACCAGTGAAAGATTTTATAATGAATATACGCAGATATGAAGATATATAATTATCAATATGTTAAAAACTCAAATCTTAAGAACAACAATGAGTCCGGCAAGAAATATTAGCTGAATACTGCCTAATGGCAACATCCGGCGAGAAAGAGATAAAGTTGGGTTTGTTTGAGTATAGTAGAAATCCACTCTTGATAAGCTGCAAGTTATGTTGTCATCTGAGATGGATACCGAGGACACCTCCACTGTTTCATAGAGTACTTTCGATTCCCAATTAGCTTCAGTAGTGAGATTATAAACTGAATAGAGTTCGATTGACCTGCATAGGGTAGGATCGGATCGAAGTCCTTTTACGAGCACGTTCATGTACGTCATCTGAGGGACATACGATGGATTCGTCAGCGATGTAATTTCTGTCTCTAAAAGGAACCGTCCCTGTGCTTGTCCTCCCAAATCCATTGTAAACCATACAGTCTTCTTATCACTAAGATTAAGAACAGTCTGATTCCAAACTCCACTTGTTGCGAGCTTCACTATCTCGATCCTTAAAATATCACCTCCATTCACATTCATCACAGCTCCTCCAAAACAGCCTGAGCCCGTATAATATCCATCAGTATTCACATACTGAGCCGATATCCACCATTAGTAAGGATCAATACTATTTTGATTCGGTGCACATGATCCTTCTCCATAGGTCAATACAGGTTGAAGAACCCCACCGCCGATCGGTCCGAAATCTGGTCCCGGTGGTTGAAGACCAGGCCAGATAAAGAGGAGTGTTTCATTATTTACTTGAGGGGTTTTGAGTGGAACTACGAGATCAACTGAGGCGTAGATGAATTCGTTAATATCAGGATCAGTGTCTATTTCGAAGTCTGCTGATGACATGTTGATCGTACAACTGGCTAATAGGAGAAAGAAAATTTTGGACACCATTGTGTTCTCAGTAGATTATATAAGATATTTGTAATTCGAGTTTGAATATAAACAGAATTTTGAATGCTTGAAATCGAATTGAAAATATAAAAAATCGCCGACGTTGTAATTTAGATCAGAAGAAAAAACGAAAACGTTTTGTGTCAATTCCAACCAGCGAATGACGACTAAGCACTCATGTAGATATAGGAGAAAGAAAAAAAAAGGAAAATTTTTTGTGTCAATTGTAACGATACGTTACCTACCCTAAGAGGAGGCAACCTTGATATTTTTTTCAGTACTTCTTGCTTCTGTTTACCTATTCACTTGTTTTTCACTTACAAATCGCTTGATTAGTTCAATTCTTTACCTTGCATGAATAACGTGCTCCAATTCTTCGTTCTCTTTCGAAGTTGCCCTTGGGCTCTGTATTTTAATTAGTGTGTGATTCATTCTGCAGAGTATGAAAGGAACAACGAAAATACAGTAGTGGGCTTTTTCAATATTCGAAATGAATATACATATATATTCAAAATTTTAAAGTAGTACTTACAAAACCAGAAATCGTTACATCAATTTCAACCAGCGAATTACGACTCGGTACCTATGTTGATGTAGAAGAAAGAAAAAAGAACGGGGTGCGGTTGTTGAGGGATGAGGATGTCGGTATTCTACTTGCTGAGATATATATAAACATTTTAGAATATCCGATTATATGTAGTGCATTTGTTTTTATGATTAAAAACTTATTCATAAGTTAATTTGAGAGGAGAGGGGGGTACAAGTCAGAAAACAATGAAATGACACTTATCCACCTCACCCACCGATAAGTAGATGTGTGTGCGGTTGAGCTGTAAAAGGAGGTCTACACCCACACCTACATCCTTCAATAAAAGAAAAAATGACTAAAAACTGATTTATTCAAAAAATTAAGATATTTGAATTGAAAAAAGTTGAATCGATTCCGTTTAAGATTCTTTTTTATTAAAATGCGTTAGACCATACAAGACTTTACTGAGTATACGATACGAAGTAAAAAGTAAACGGTAGATCAGCAGATGGATTAATATTGTTTCCTACGATTTTGCGTAATAGTAAGATGTAGTGCTCAAAGAGAATTGCTGATGGGAACAACTTCATTAGATGTTGACTGGTATAGACGTTTCAAATATATTTTGATGATTTGTCGAAGACGTGGCGAAGAAAGAAAATAAATATGTATATATAATACGCATATATTTATATTTTCTGTATCAGAATAGATTAGTTCCGTTAATGAAAAAGACAGAAACAAAAGATGAGTGTGATGAGACAATGTAACTTATTAGTAGCAAACAGCTTCATGGGAAGAGAGAAGTTCTGTGTAGCAATGATATCTTTCCATTTTATTGACTCTTCTTAGTTATTCCGTTTCTTCATCAAAAAGACTTGTTGCCTGTTGTGTCAATTGATTTTTTCCGAATAATTTCAAAATTTTACTGAACAAATCTTGAGAACTTTTTGAAGTTTGATTTTGTGAAAGATTCTGCACCTCTGATGTTTTCAAACACTTTGTGAATAAATAGCGATATCAGTAGACAAGGCCTCATCATCTCAGTACAAATATCATAATTTCTACTCCAATTCATATGCTATTACTGATAAATTATAAAAAGACTACGGATTCACTAACATAATCTTGAGGGTGAGAGTGTAGGTGTGGACATTGATCTTTAAGTGATCCATACCTATGTTTTCATACCCACACCCTCACATAAATAAAATATCACAAATAAATATTGACACATTTTTCTATCAGTAAGAATCTGATTTCAGTAGTATTAGAAATTATTTGAAAGTACAGCCAGATTGTAAACTGGTATCTGATTCGTTTCAAAACGTATTTTTATATTCGATATTAATATTGTAAGATATTTGAATTTACATGCAAATAGTTTGTATAGTTGTTTTAAACACACATTTTCTGTTCTACAGATTTGATAACGTCTGAAGTATTTGTATATGTGTTGCCGTCAACGTAAGACGAGAAATTATATTTTGCATGCGCATACTTTTAAGATAAAAGATAAGTTAGTGGGTATTTTTTTATATGCATTACTCGCGCTTTATAGTGAAAATAACCAGATACAAGATAGAATTTAAAAAAAGTTTGAATACCGTCGCAGTTATACAAGTTTAGTTTCTTACCAATTTGTTTTCAATGTGAAGTGGCATAAAATATCGTATTTATACGATAGAATAACCGCTAATAGTCTAAGACTTTTTAATTTGTTCTAAATTTTTAGATAAATGGCAGACTCACCGCTTGTCTGTTTGCCTGTTGAACTTTTGCATCGTGTCTTTGATCATCTCGATGCTCACACCATTGTTTTTTCAATCCGTTTGGTTTGTAGACAACTTCATGCAGTTGTCAACTTCTATAATCGTTTTCAACTCAATTTCGGTTCAAAGAGATATTCGCCTCTTAAAATTATTTCTCAACTCGTTCAACCTTTTAACGTCATTTCACTTATATTTTATGGTGCCAATGGCTATCATACCTCCATTAAATATTTGCTCTCAAACTTCAACATTAGCCAATTCACTAGACTTCGTTCATTGGCTCTCTATGAAGTCAATTGCAATGAAATGAGCCAATTTTTTCGGTATGTTACCATTAATTCCCTAGTCTCACTGACAGTCAATATGCGTGAGCGAATGGACAATACAGCCTTGTCAATTATTTTTTCAATTGTCGCTAAAACCAAACTTCAAAAACTATGTTTACATGATCTAGATTTTACAAATAATCAAATAGTGTGGCCTATTCAAAGTACATTAGAATATCTGACAATCAGAGATTGCTCTTATCACCAATATCGTATCATTCTCTGTAATTCGCCTCATTTAAGAACACTTATTATTAGAAATTGTATTATGGACAATAATGATCAAATGGTTTCTTCATATGCAGTTACAACATCCAATTCTACAAAAAGACAACGTACATCCATTGATTCCACAGGTAAAGAGTTAAATGTGCATCTCCCAAACATCATCTATATCATCGTACAGTTAGTAGTTTTTTTCGGATACTTAAAGTTCGGACTAGGCTCAAAGTCTGCCCGATAAACTCCTTGGATAAAAATCCCAGCTCCCTAACAATGTACTACACCGTAAAATGAACTCTTAAGCCATTACAATAATGATACAGAGGTACATACAACTAGTTAAATTCATTTGAGTCTTATAAGATCAAAAAATGTAGGATGACTTATGCCAGTCTAATCTGATCGTTTAAATTAGGTATAGGGTCGATTAGTTTCGGTTCGATTAGACTTTCAAAAATTCGAACCGATATAGTATTTGGTTGAAACTACTACTACTAATGCGAGAACTATCCCAAGTGATACCCATCGTTTTTGGACAAGCCTAAAAGAGTTTGTTCCCATAGATCTTTCCAGTCAAGTTATGATCCGATTAAACGAGTCCAAATAGCGAGTACCATTTGGGATCGTTTTCACTTAACAGAATCGTTCTTTCAATTAAAACGAAGCTCATTTTATACAATACAGTAATCGTAGATTGACCAAAGAGATGAGATATGAGGCACATTTTATTATTCGAATTGGTTAGAAGTTCTAAATCAGTAAAACGAAAAAGCTTTAATTGAAAATTTGTTGCATAGACGCTGGAAAATATCGACAAAGAATATTGAAAGTATTCTTTAGCACACCTACATTGCTTTCATTCCCATTTTCAACAAAATTAATAGCTATCAGTAAAAAATATTCATCTAACGACGTAAGTAATTTATAAAATAAACATATCGGAGAAAAACATTTTTACTTCCTCTCAACTTTACATGGTCCCCATGTAAAAAAAGTTGTGAAAATCATGATTTTTATGAGAAATCTGATGAGAAATCGATTTAAATAGCACGATTTTCATAGCTTGGTAATCGATTAAGTTCAAATAATCAGTTAAAATCGATTAAAATCAATTATTTTTTTACGAAAAATTAAATATCATTGGATTTTAATCGATTATTCACAACTTAATCGATTTTAACCGATTTTATACAACAGTTTAATCGATTTTAATAAATTTTTTCAATTTAATCGATTACTATGCTATGAAAATCATGCCATTTAAATCGATTTCTCATCAGATTTCTCATAAAAATCATGATTTTCACAACTTTTTTACATGGGTCATTGTCTAGCTCATCATGTTCTCCAATATTTTTCAATTTTCAATCGAGTTCAGGTTTAGCAGTAAAAAATGAGATTGAACTATTTATTAAACTTTTTTATGAAAGAAAATAAAACGCAACCTAAAGAAAGTTCCATCATTTGTATCAACAACTTGTAAGGCTCAGGTTTCTAAAAATATATTAGAAGATAGAATATCAAAACGAAACAAAATCAACTAATAAAATATTACATATCCTATCCTTTGATTTAACAGTGTATGCGCAATTGACTTCATTGACTATTGGTGACTGCAGACTATCGATCCAAGAACTTGAATGTCTTCTTTCATTGACACCGTCACTTGGCCATCTGAAACTGATTGCATCTAGATCGACACTTGATACAATATTTGATGGTTCTTATTGGGAACAATTCATTCAAGAGAAACTACTTTTACTGAATCAATTTCAATTTTTACTGACTTGTATTGACAACAAATTCGATGACATCACTACTTTCGATTCACTTATCTTACCATTTCAAAGTCCGTTCTGGCTCAACAATAAAAATTGGTTTGTTACTTGTGGTTATATTTTACGAGAATCAAAAATTATACTTTATACAACACCACTCTTTGTCGGAGTTGATGCCGCAACAAGATCTGCTGTATTTGAAGTATCGTTAACAAACCCTGAATATCGCTTAATTTTGCGCGAGAATTACAATAGAATCTATAATATTGAAGAAGAGGTAAGTCTGATACAGCCTTCTTATACGTATAAGAATGATCATATGCGTTACAGATAAGGAAATCCATATTTTTGTTATACCTCACAATTTTTCCTTATGAGATATAATTCTTAGTCAAATAGAATAAACGAATTATATCCTTTCAGTTATACAAAAAAGAATATTAATATACCTTAGGCATATTTTATACAAGATCATATAGGTCACAATCTTTTGTGACGAATCTCAGTACCGATTCTATATATGATTTTTCAACCCCCCCCCCCCCCCTTTGCATTTCATGATGTACATTGTTATGTTTTCATATAGACGCGCTCCAGATTGAATTTTTCCAACAATCGAATCGGAGACAATCTGACACAGCGTGTGGCTGCGGCGCTACTAAACTACAAAGTGAGATATTTCTCAAATTCATTACAGTGAAATTCACCATTTATTTATCATTCAGACATTAACTACAGTTGATCTTTCACATAATGAGATCGGATACATTGGAGCACAGCATTTGGCTGACACATTACGAAACCATCAAGTTAGATATTTCTCAGACTCATTTAAACTATACTTATTTCTTACTTTATACATAGACACTTACTACTATAGACCTTTCCCACAATCGAATCAGAAACAATGGAATGCAATATCTTTATGATGTATTCAAAGAGAACAAAGTAAACCTTTAACACTTCGCATTTATCTTAAGTATCGAAATTCTGTGGCATAGACATTTATTAAATTGAACCTTGAAGGAAATCCTGGTAGCTCTTCTACAACTGTGAGTGCAGCAATTCAAATACGCAACGATAAAGTAATTTGCTTCCTCCATATTCCTTTTACAATTTTTTTCAACTTTTCTGAAGACAATTACTAAAATTAAACTTTGTGGGAAGAGTATCGATGACACTGGGATGAAATTTTTGGCTGATGCACTAATCAACAATGAAGTAACATCATTTCTATATTTGTTGCATCAATGATTATAATTTCATTGTGGCATAGACAATCACTGAGTTGGATCTTTACTACAATAAAATTGGAGATATTGGAACAGAATATTTAGCTGATGCATTACAAAACAATACAGTGATTAACAACTTGTATCAACTTTCGTCATATTGAACTTTATCTTTTCTTACAGACATTAGTGATACTAAAACTTTCGTACAATCAAATAGGACATAATGGAGCAAAATATTTAAGTGATCTATTGCAAACAAACCAGGTGAAATTTCTTTTAGAATTTTCTATCCTAATGATTAGTTTTTTCATTTGATTCAGATGATTACTAAGATAGATCTTTTGAAGAATCATATTGGAGACATTGGAGCTCAATATTTAGCTAATGTTTTACAAAACAACCCAGTAATTTATTATCTCAATTTATTTACGTATTGATTAGATTTTTCATTGTGATATAGACAATGACTGAATTGGATCTATCGCGTAATGCAATAAGCGATACTGGAGTACAATATTTAGCTCACATGCTACGAAAAAATACTGTAAAATACTTTTATTGACTTATTTGATTATTTTTATGGATATTGTTGTTTTTGAATAGGTAATGGTGACTCTTGGTCTTTGGGGCAATGCAATTACAGATATTGGAGCACAGAAACTATTCAATTCATTGAAAACCAATAAAGTTCGTTTATAAGATAGTGTCTTCCACTTGACTAATTTTATTTTCCTTCCAGACAATAATGAAAGTAAGATTAGATCATAATAAGAGTAAATATTGTGAAGCTATTGGGATAGCAATTGGAATTCGAAATGATAAGGTCTTTTAAGATTGATTGACTTTATACTCAACGTTTTAATTTTTTTCCGACAGACACGCACTAGTATAGATCTTCGATACGAACAATATGGAGACAAGGAAATAGAATTATTGGCAAATGAATTATACAACAACAAAGTAAGATATTTTGTTATCTAATCTAATTATTGATTAGATTTTTCCTTGTGACATAGACAATCACAGAATTGAATCTGTCGAATAATGAAATAAGTGACATTGGAACACAATATATAGCTGATATGTTACGAAACAATATGGTAAAAAATATTTTTGACTGATTTGATCAGTAATAATCATTCTGTTTTGAATAGACAATCACTTCAATTGATCTTTCAAAAAATCAAATTGGAGATATTGGGGCTAAATATCTTCGTGATGCCTTGCAAAACAATAAAGTATTTAATTATTTTCAATTTTATTTATCTTCAGTATTTAACATGTAGATACTCACCAAACTAATACTCGATTCTTATTCTTATGATAATAGTGAAACGAAAACGAATAAAATCAGTGATACTGGGGCACAATTTATAGCGGATGCCTTACAAAACAATCGAGTCATTTATTTTGCTAATATATTTTATTTTTTATTGATGTTTATTTTTTTATTTAGACACTTATTATGCTTAGTCTTGAATCGCATCAAATTGGAGATACTGGAGCAGAACAATTGGCTGTCGCCTTGGAAAACAACGAAGTAACGAACTTTTTTTAGTCATTTGACATTGACTTATGTTAATTGTTATACGTTAGATACTCAAGGAATTGAAACTTTTTAGCAACAAAATCTCGATCGAACTACAACGTCATTTGAAGAGGAAAGATAAAAGATTCCGTTTTTCGCAATATTAGTATGATAATTTTGATTAAGATTCGAATTAATGATTAATTGTTTTATTCAATTTTTAATAAAATAGAGAAAGAAAATAACCAAAATATTGATATTATAGAATACTTTGATGTTTTGTTTTTCTAAGAAGACTCAATAGTTAGTTTTAAGGAATTTCATCTGCCGCATTGCGTATTTTACTCTACTAATGTCATTGTCAACTATTGGAGAAGAAAAACAAATTTTGAAAGTTATTTAATCGTAGTTCTATCGCTGATATAACTAAGATGAATACTTTTGTATCTGTGAAAGTTTTGTAATAATTATTATATTATTTTTAAATAATCCTTTCCGATATAATATAATATCATGTTACAAAAAAGAAACTCAAAGTTAATGAATGTAAAACAGAAAAGAGGGTGGGTGTGGGTGCTATGTTACTCTTGTACCCGCATCCACCATCAATATTCTTTGTAATGTTAATGTTTTTCTTCAAAAGATTTGTTGATATATTTATATAATCTCTTTACTTATCATTGTTTTGTAAAAATGTGCTGCACACCAGAGCTTTCTGTGTCTCTAATCACTAGCACCGTCCTTATATATGAATAAGAAGAGGATGAACATATTATCTACTCAACAAGCATTCACAAACAAATCAATACGGGTACGTGTAGATATGGTTGTCGGAGGTAATTAGAATAAATACCCTCACCCACACTATTTGCAAACGTGTTAGTTGATTGCATTCAAGAACAGTTCTCAGTTCTTTTTTCTTCCTTCATGAGTAATTATGAAATACTCTATTCACAGAACGAAAAAGAAAAAAAATGACTCATACATATGTTAGCTTATTTTCTTTTGATTTTAAATGTATTGATGGTAATAAGATCTAGACAGGAGTATAGTGATATGTCATTTATCAGAAAATTTTTTTTTCGAAGTTAAATTATTGCACAAAAGAAAGCAGAACAATAATAAAATGCTACTGTGCGAGAGTTATTCTTGCAGGAAAATAGTCATTCTGTATATAAGGTATTGCATAATTATGTTGTGGTAAAAAAAGGAAGTAATGATTAGCTCCTGGATGGACTCGAACCATCAATCTTTCGGTTAGAGGCCGATTGCGTTAACCATTGCGCCACAAGAGCACACT